CCCCAAAACCCCAAAACCCCAAAACCCCTGGATTATAAATTAATAAATCTGCAGCTATAATTATTAAAAATGAAACATATTATAAGCATCATTATTTTTTAAACCTTGCTTGCATTTACACAGGCTAAGGATACTGTGATAGGTGCGCTTGTGTTGGCAAGGCATGGTGCTAGAACTCCTACTCATAATAATGATCCTTTAAACGCTATAGATCCTTGGGTTTATGATGGGAAACTTACTCCTGTCGGTATGCGATAGTAATATTTATTGGGTCGATATTTAAGACTTAAGTACATCGAAAAAGAGCCTCTGATACCAGATACAATTTATAGAAAAGACAAAGGACACTAAGAAGTTGTCATCTTTGCATCAAACATCTCGAGAACTATTTAAAGCGCTGAGTTCTTGCTATAAGGACTCTATCCTCAGAGCAAAAGAGTTGATTTTTTCATAAAGTAAGAGTAGATCCCATTCGCTAGACCACCACTAACTATTCACAATTAGGAATAATTAGAGAGCAAACTTGGTCTCAAATCTCTTGAGTATAAGATTGACCCCGTTGATATAGTGGTATTCTTTGGAAAAGATACAGTGCTTAGAGCTGATTAGTGTCCAGATGTTAAGAAAATTTTGGTAGATTTGAAAAAAACTGATGAATATTTGGACCTGGAGAAGGACTTCAAGGAGGGTTACTTCAAGAAAATACCAAGCATACTAAATGTTACTGATTTAGAAAGCTTCGATAGAATGAGAGACATCCTAGACTGTAGGTATGCTGAGGGCAAATATATTGCAAACATGACTGATGAATAGTTCAACGAGTTCATGGAATAAGCTGAGGCTTCATATGAATACTTACATGGAAATCATTAGTTGAATAAACTTGAGGTTACTGGATTTTTTGAGCATGTGAAGTACTTTTTAGAGAATACTTATAAAAATGCTGAAAGTGGAAAGGAAATCATAGAAAGAATGAGAATATACATAGGCCATGATAGACTAATTCAACCTATTATGGCTAGTTTTGGAATCTCATTGAAGAGATCACCAGAATTCGCATCATTCTTAATTTTTGAAATGATTCAAAGAGAGGTTGACTAAGTGAAAAGCTACTATATCAAAGTAAAATTAAATGGAAAAGAATAGATGGTGACTGGGTGCTCTTTAATACAATCAGGATTGTGTGAATATAATGACTTTTAGAAGATTTTAGATAGCTCCAGTCTTGAAAATTATGATTATACTGGCTATTGTCAATGAAATAATCTTCAGAAAGATTTAAAATTTTATTAGACGATTAAGAAAATTTAAGATTATTATATTGCTTCTATTCATAGCCATTATAATACATTAAGGGGTTTTGGGGTTTTGGGG